CGAGCGACGTGCACCCTCGCCCTCACTCCGCCGGACCGGCGGTCAGCCGGCTTCCTTAGGTACCGCGCCCCCGATCCATCCATCCACCCACCCACCCCGTTCGCCGCCTTCTTCCCCGTCGCGGATTTCGCAGCGGCCGCGCTCAAATCTGGGCGGGGCACCGTCGCTAGAAGTTCCCGGTACAGCGCCCTCGTGTCGCCGGCTTCGGTCCCCGAGGATCGCCTAGGAGTCGGTTTTGCTTGGTCGGGTCGGGGGATGGACGGGTTCCAGTTCCAGACCGCCGGCCCCTCGATTCCTCCTTAGCTTTAGCGCACATGATGCCCGCGGATCTACAGCATCCGCGTATTGATTTTCGGCCAAGGTGTGAGGAAATGGGGTGTTGCTCTTCTGGAGCAGGCCCAGAGGCAGGTGTGTCAGCTATGGGCATGGGCAGTATGTCAAGTGTTAGCTCTGATCGATTTGTGAGTGTTCCCAGAGTTGTTCTGGTGTTCCAGTGCCGCTAGCTAGTACCCCGAAACGAAACGGTTTTCGCGGATGAATCTGAATAAAGCAAGGTTTGAGTAGTTAGTTAACAGGGTGTCTGAATGCCGACTCTAAATCGGATTCAGATTCGGACATCGGGCAGTATGTTATTTATTTCCATTTATTTGCTTTGGGTAGCAATGTTGCAGGATTTATTACCAGCAATTATGTTTTGTACCCACGGTCGAAACAACTCATCGTGTTTTTATCATGTGTGTGCAGGGTTGTGGGGTTTCTGTTGCCGATGAAGGTGGAAGATTGCTGCCACTGATCTCCAGGGCATACTTTATCGCTCACTCATGGAGATGGTTGATGCAGTTGACGGATACAAGTTTGCTGACGAATCTACGAGCGATGTCCGTGTTTGCTTTAGGCGGACCGGCGGTCGCGGCGAGCAGCCAGAACGGTTTCCCTGCCACTCGTCCGTCCTCTCCAACAGGAGCAAGTATTTCGCGGACTTGCTGGGTCAACAAAGCGATGCCCGTTCTGGTGGTAGCAATAACTGCATTGAAGTCCAGTGCCCGAGGGCTGAGTATGACCATTATGTCAAGTTGTTGAAGTTTATGTATCTTTCGAGAGATTCGATTGAGGACGCAATCACCTCCGTTAAGTCGGCTCTCGGCGTTCTTCGAGCAGCCACCTCTCTCAAATCCGAGTTCGTTGCCGAAACCTGCATAGGATACCTGGAATCTGCTTCCTGGGAAGAAAAGGAGGAGGAAGAGATTTTACAGTTTGCTCAGACCCTGGCCCCAGAAGCTGCTGCACCTTTGTTGGCCCGTTTGCAAGCTCCCAGTGCGAACGCTGTGAAGACTGTTTTCATCTCCGCTGTGCGCTTCGCTGCGTCCATGGAGACTTCAGCTGCTCCTTTATTCGATGACATCAAGACTGCTGCTCAAGAGCAGATTGACTTCATGCTCCATGATGGTGATGACCCTGCAATTGTTATGATGGATGAAGATGTAAGGTCTGTCTTGAGGGAAGGTTTGACAAAACTGTTGTCAACGCTTCGGACTGGACTAGATCTCTTGGCCTCAGAGTTTGATAAATTGCCTGAACAAGCAGAGCAAAGGATTGTGCGCAGCTTAGTTGACATTGACTGGATAACCACTGTCTTGACAAAGACTGAGCTGATGAACGAGTTTGTTTCTGGCTGGTTAGAAATCTCAGACCATGTTGTCTCGGTGGTTCAGAACGACAAGTATAGCTCAGGTCTGTGGGCTGTGAAGACAAAGCTTATAGAAGTGACTGGAAAGGCCTTGGATGCTGTTGGCTATGGCTCTGTGATTCTCCCGTCAACATCCAGAGCGCATCTTGTGAAGACATGGCTCCCGTACATCCGGACGACAAAGCGCTTCCTTGATGCCAAGGCGAAAGACGAGGCATTTCCTCAGATGGATGCGGGCTTGTGTCAGAATATCGAGAGCGCAATTGTTTCATTGATTTTAGCATTGCCTTCAGGCGACCAGTCGGATATCCTGTCGGACTGGATGCAGAAAGCAGACCAGTTCAGATACCCTGACCTCACCGAAGCATTCGAGATGTGGTGTTACCGCAGCAAAACAGCAATCAGGCGGCTGAATGGGGCGGTAGATAAGGGCAGCAACCCTATCAGCTTGTAAGGCTTACCATTGTTTTAATTGTAGACTGTAAGTGTGATATTAGCCGGTTATACCAACCAAATTCTCATTGTCGGATGTTGTTGTTGTTGTTGTGGATGTTGTAAAACCATCACCCATGTTCTATACAGTTCAGTTCTTCTGCAGTATGTTCTTGTCGAAAATCACCGGTTTTCTCTATTAATTATACTCATGCAGAGATATCTGAGCATCCTCGGTGTCGAAAAGCCTATAATTATTGTTTTAGTGATACTCATGTTGATTTTTTTTTTCTTCCTTGTTACATTGTAAACCAGGTTAAGAGTTCCTGGGCCGAGTGACTCCCAGTTCCAACCAGGTCTGGTGTTCCTCTTGTTCCTGAGGACCGCTTAAGCATGGATCCTGAAGGACTTCGTTCTCTGGCATGCTTTCCAGGTTCCATGGCCAAAAACTCTCTAAAAAAAGAGCTTGATGGTTGCTTCTTCCAGGGTATGTTGCCACAAATGGTTGCTCCTGTTTACTCCCTCTGCCTCGAGATGTAAGACGTTTTTTGACACGGACGTCTTACATTTTGCGACAAGAGGGAGTGCCTCAAGATGTAAGACGTTTTCGACAAGAACGTCTTACATTTCGCGACAGAGGGAGTAGTAAGCAAATAGCTTGATGTTGCTTCTGTCCTGATCTTGCATTAAGTCTTGGCAAATTAATTCCCTTGAGAAAGGAAATCTGGCAACATGATATTAACAATTCCTGTCAAATAAAATAATCAAAATGCTTATCAGGCTTTTGTGGTGTTCACCATGTGCCTACCAAATTTCCTTTTTCTTTCCTATATTCTGTGGTTATCACGTTTGCGCTTTGCCATTTGCATTAAGAGGGAAAGTCATAGTCATTATTTAGCATTCTTGTACAGCTTAATGGAGGTGGAGCATGCATCAGATAGGGTTGGAAATTTAGTTGCTACAGATCATTGTCTTCACTAAACCGCCCGAATCGAATACAAACACTAAATTAGGGGCCATCCTAACCCAGGTACTACTCATGCATCATTAGCCCACCTGACCTCCCAATCAAACGAACGAAAACATTTGGGGTTTGGCAACTTCTGTGAAAGCAGGGCATTCATTTAGTTGTCCCATTGCAGCACAGGAATCTTCTCAGCCTTCTAAATTATAACCCGCAACTGATTGAGGCAATCATGAGGCCAATCTTGCGCTAATCATATCCTAACATCATTCCAAGCACTTGGTTAAGTACGCACAGTAGGTTCGGTTGCGAGCTTAATTCGTCGAAAGCCGCTTTGCGTTTATGATTTTCATTATGATTATGATTGGCAGGGGAAATGATTGCTGGGAAGGCGAATGCCCATCCAGCTTAATCCTGCCAATCTCCTGATGTGTTAGGGCTAGCTGAAAAAGGCGAGCTTTCCTCGTAGTGGAACGTAAAGCGGATGATTAACAAGGTTTTTTTTTGTGTGATAATAATCAATCTCTCTCTTTTTTTTTTGTTATCGATGACGTTTTTCGCCCGTGCGTCGTGAGATTTTAAGAAATTGCAGGCTGCTCCATTTGGGGCTGGGAGCCAAATCCAGGCGGTCTGAGCCCCTTTTCTCTTCAGTTATAGACAAGCGGTTTGTTTGATGCCTGGCATGATTAGCTGACGTGCAAACAGTGAATGAAGTGCACTAATGCGGGGTGCCAACCTAAAAAGAAGAGTATCTATGTAGGACGTAGCTCAATGGGCTGGATAATTGTTCATGCTAGTGGAGTTGAAGATTTGAGCTAATCTATTGTAATCTAGTGTGTGTGTGTGTGTGATTGATGGACAGGGAAGGAAGATCGGCATGTGACATGCAGGTTCAAGGAGGCTGCTCAGGAACACACTGGCATCATTATATTGCACTGACAGTATACATATGGTATGTATTTACAGCTATATATACTCTCTTAGTACATGGTATATCAGTATATGTATATGTATATGTATATGTATATATGCTACTGCTATACTAACTCTACAGTAATACACCCTCAGTCCCAAAATAAGTGACTCAACTTTGCACTAACTTTGGTAGCCTCCAATTTCAGGTTCTGCGGCATCTTGTAGCCGTTCGGCGACCAAAACTAATTTTCCGGTGCTCGGATCCCTAGCTAGGCGATGGCCATGCCGCGGTCGGCGTTGGAGCTCTGGACCTGGAACCTGAAGCTGGTGACGGGAAGAGCGCTCTCCTCCTTGACCTTCTCGGCGGTGATGGCCTCGGAGAAGCTCCACAGCCTGGCAGCCTCCCCGGCGCTGCACGCCAGCCTCGACGGCGCCGCCTCGTTGCAGTCGGCGAAGTACCTCCCCGACACCCCCGCCACCGCCGGGTGCACCGCCGCGTAGCACGTCGTCGCCGCCGCCTGGACATGCACCCACCCAAGGGTCAGGATTCCGGCGTGGAAACCGTTGATCGGCCGAGGTGAATGAAGCGAGAGTGACTGACCTGGGGCACCGTCTTGAGGAGCTTGGACGCCAGGAAGAACACCGTGTCTGCAGCGGGCAAGTCGTTGCAGGGTACAATAAGATCACCATTCGCCACGTTTATTTGTTGACTCCTCGAGTCGGAAAACTCCGTCATCGATGCGGTGTGAGGCCGACACGTGGCGCCTGGCCCACGTGCCGGCCTCACATCGACACGCGACGGTGTTTTCCAACCTAGGCTTATTTTCGTGAAACAAGAGGGGAGGAGGACCATGACGACTAGGACGACTTACTGGTGACGAGGCCGGCGCGGTCGCGGATGAGGCGGGTGCGGACGATGCCGGGGTGGACGCAGTTGGCGGTCACGTCGGCGCCCATCTCCCTGAGCCGGCCGGCGAGGGCCGTGGTGTGGAGCACGTTGGCGAGCTTGGACAGCGCGTAGGCCCGCGTCGGATCGTACGGCCTGCAGAGGGCCATCAAGTTTCCAGCAGGGTGCTCACGTGAATCTCGAAGCACCATGGATACATACATAGTACGGTGGTGATTAATACGACGGTAAATGACGTACGTGGCCTTGCGGGTGACGCGGCTGAGGTAGGCGAGGGGCCCGTCGTCGCCGGCGTCGGCGGCGAACCAGGCGTGCACGGTGGAGGAGACGTTCACGACGCGGCCCTGCACGCCGCTGGCCCTGGCCGTGTCCGCCATGGTCGGCAGAAGCAGCTCCGTGAGCAGGAAGTGGCCCAGGTAGTTGGTGGCGAAGGTCATCTCCACGCCGTCCTCCGACACCGCGAACCGCTCCGCGTACTGCCCCGCGTTGTTTCTGCACGACATGCGTAGAGCCGATCAGTTAAGCTAATCATCACGGCGATCGCCGGCGACGGAGACGGAGACGAAAGGAGGAACGTGGTGGATCAAGCAGGTGATTACATGAGGAGGTTGAGCGGGAGGCGGAGGGCGACGAAGCGGGCGACGAAGCGGCGGACGGAGCCGAGGGAGGAGAGGTCGAGCGGGAGCACCACGACGCGGTGGCCGCCGGGGCCGAGGTCGGCGAGGATGCGGGCGCGGGTCTCCTCGGCGGCCTTGAGGTTGCGCGCCGGGAGCACGAGCCTGGCGCCGCGCCGGGCCAGCACGCGGGCCGTCTCGGCGCCGATGCCCGAGGTCGCGCCGGTGACGATGGCGGTGATGTGGCCGAGATCGCCGGCGGGGAGGGTGGCCTCCTCCGCGGTGGTGCGCGAGCCGTAGCCGCTCGGGCCCGCCGAGCCGGCCAGGTACCTCAGCGAGCTCAGCATGGCGCTCATGGAGGGAGGAGGCAGAGAGGGGGGAGAGAGATGGGTGGAGAGTGGTGTGGTGGGAGAGGAGGACCGGGGGTATAAATAGCCGGCCGGAGAGACGATGAAGATGACTCCTCCGTCCGTCGAGTGCACACGCGCGCGCGCACGGAGACGGACGCACGGTGCGCCGTTGAGTTGCACTAGGAGGTGCTCTGGAAAGCGACATGCACTGCAGACTGCCGATCCATTTCTCCGTTGCTCATTAATTTCGTAGACTACAGATGGGGATCGCCTTCGAAAATAAATTGACCCTCAAATTGTACTGGTTGTTGGAAGGTTAGGTGGACAGTGGTATCCGCTGTCCATCAGAATTCAATTCCCAGATTTGACATCGGTGCTCGTATTTTTCTGAATTTATTCTAGACCTTTCAGCGATGTGTGTTTACTGGGAGGAGACGTTTCTGTTGATTATGAGGACGTCTGTGGCGACTTTACCAATTTTAAAATGATGTGCCGGCTCAGTCTCTCCGAGGTTCTCATAGATATAGGATGTACGTGTGTGCGTTCATAGGGATGAGTTTATGCTTGTGTATGTGAGCAACTTTGATTGTACCGTGTTAAAAAAAACTGGACTCATTCGACCGAGACATAACCAAGTCTTAGTCGACTGAGAGATTTAATAAAACTGTTTAAAGAGATCGTTTGGTTGCAGCCGTCTTAATTCAGACTAGTTCTGCCGGTCAGCCAACATTATTTACAAGGTTCGTCAATGTTGTGGTTGTACCATCGGCCCACCAAGGATCAAACATTTACGCCTTTGTAGCGATTGACACGCCAATGATACAAGATTTTAATCGACTTTGAATCAGTAAAATTTATGTATAAAGAAGATATTTTTCATGAGGGTTTTAGAATGTTGGATACCGGGTTCATATCGATTTGGTTTTGTCATATCAGACACTGGAGTACATCTATAGTTAGACCGGGGTGGTTTGCTTCCCACTCTCCCGTGACTTAGCGGCAGGAGCGGAGGCCGGGGTACTACCTGCCTCTGCGGCGAGACTGCGGTCCCCCTCCCCCTCTATCTACCCCTCCGGCGATGGGAGGGGCGGGGACCCTAGGGCGGTGGCGAGATCGATGATGCGTGGAATAAGGTCTTCCGGTCTCGCCCTCGTTTCGGTGGTGCTCCTTTGTGCTGCCCGAAGTCGTGTGGCAGATGATGTGTCTTTAGATCAGTCTTAGTCTTCCTTCTGCATGTTTGTCTTGGTGACACTGTCCCGTACGTGGAGCAGATAACAACCGACGGAGCGTCGAGGCAGCCATGTGAGGTTTGTGTTCCCCGACTCCATTTGCTCAGACTTGAGGCATTCTACACGCCCACAAGCGGCATCGAGCTTTTCTCTATGAACAGGAATGAAGAGAGGGGAGAGGTGGCGGAGAGCGGTGGACGACCGGAGTTGGGAGCCTGTCAGCGAGTGGGTGAGTGGGCTAGCTGCGTAGCATGTATATGTACGTACGTGCGCGTGGGTCAAACGATATCTCATCTTCTATTCTGCGTACGTGCTCCGGCTAGATAGACATAGCTTGTTCGCTAGCGCCTAGCGCTGTGGACGATGGAGCACGTGTGCGGCGTATTTGAGGTCCACCGATAGTAGATCCTTC